TTTGGTGGAAATGAAAGACATGTTTTTGTGTACTTCTTGTGTAGAAGTAGCACATATATATTGTGTGTAAATGATCTTGATCTTAGGAGCACGATAAATTTCTCACAAGGGTCAACAAGACTTGACAAAACTCAACACTAAACAAGCAGTTTTCAGAAAGCTTATATCATGTAAGATCATGTATGGTTTTGGTAGCAAATTATCACTTTTTTAGAATAGTAAGGTTTTCATTATATTTTTCATCAAAAATAAAACTCTAATAGTCATACTTATTTGGAACAGCATTATAGCAGCTCTTATCTTGTTATCCCATATCTCACAAATTAGACTTAGTTACAACACTTGCATCCAACAAAGTTTTAGGTTCATGATGGTTTCATATGAGCCAAAAAGTCCAAACTTAGAAGAATACCAACTTGAATACTAGGGACTAGAGAAACATTAATTGAGCAATTATTTGATGAGAATCTAAAATAGGGGTATGTTAAGTTCTCAGATTAAGGGCACGATAGTCTGGCTAACCACCCGACTAACTCTCCGAATCAGCCAGGGGCTCTAGGGTTACACCCATCGAGTGCGCTCGCATGCACCATCTGACAGAGAAAGGATGGCTCAGCAGCCCACATATAGCCCTTCCCCAAGGGAGTCTTCAATATCAGAAGACCAAGCCTGAGGACACGGGGATTCTCAGACTAAAGGGAACCCCAACCTTGGCTCGGGGCAAACAATCACCATGGGCCAAGCCAGAAGCTAGCTCTAGAATTTGTCAGACGCTTAAAGCCTAACAGGCATAGAAGCACTACATTGATATCCCGCTTTGCAGCCACGAGGCGTTGTGGCCCCTCTCTCGGTAGGGTCACGCCTGAGGCATGATTCGTCAGGGACAAGGAACTCCCAAAGCCCATGAAGTGGGGGACTTTGAGCCCGCTTGACAGCCCCTCTTGGCAGAAGGAGGAGTCTAGTGTATCAGGAAACTAGGAAAAGGCACACCCAGGGAAGGAACAGTTGCAGCAAACAACACTTGGCAGTCAATGCCAGGATAGAGCAGGGGCATCAGGGAGTGGTTGTGGCTATGTTAGCCCCCAGCTAGAAGAAAAAGGACCACTGGCGCCATGAAGAAGAAGACCGAAGCCCAAGGAGAGAAGCCCTATGTGAAGAACCATTTGCTTTGTACCCCATGCCCACCTTAGTATATAAGGAGAGGCATGGGTTCTTATAGAAGAGATCAGGAAACAGAAGAATAGATCACCAAATCAGAGGACCATGACTTAGAACAGGGCCTGCACTTCGACCAAACCCTAGATCAGCATAGCACAACACTCTCTCTCTCTCTCTCTCTCTCTCGATTCCTCCACTGTAAGAACTCTCGTTTCAGCACTCCTAACACAAAGAACACCAAATATTTGATGTAGACTCAGAGGCCCAAACCAGGATAAATCTCCCATGTCCCTGAGTGTTTTGAGTTCTTAAGCCACTGGAGGTCCACACATTGACCCCTTGACGAACAACATGATGCCTGTCATGGTTACGAACACATGGCAGCTAGCGCGCCAGGTAGGGGAAGCATGTCGTGTATGATCGCAACCCTTCGGTGGCCAGAGCTAGCGTCTTCACCGCCGATGCCGGAGGCATCGCCCCTAGAGGCGACATACGCTTCTCCAGCGAAATCATCTCCACCAATAGTGCCTTCTCAGCTTCGGGAGTCTGGACTACATCTTTCACGACCTAAAGTCATTCCAACTAAAACTTTTAGTAGAACCTCCCTGATAACCTTCCACAGCACCTCAAACACCCAAGAATCAACTTATCGTCCTTCTAAAGGATTTCTAGTGCTCTCTACTAGGATAAGGACTCCAAATTCGCTAATCGATCTTATCGACTCTCAAATTACCTGAAGTCAACCCAGAGTCAACAATCGGAAAATGTTGGTCAATGTCAAGAAAATACGCAGAGCAAGATGCTAATCAACCTCTCTAAAACCCTTTATGAGTATTTATCAATCTCTCAGACATGAGAGGTGGGCGAATGATAAGATCCTTTTCTCCAAATCAAATCTCTCAAAATCAGAGAATCAACGGACCGTCCGACCTTATCGACATATCGTCCTTTAGTTCACTAGTCAACAAAGTTAAATGGGAATGAGTTGTGCTCAATTCCACTCCAGGATGGCCCCACCTGTCAACATGAATCAGAATTTGTCCTCAGCAGACTCAGCTTTGCCTATCTCATTCTCTCACCCATTCCATTCCCCACTCTCTCCCTCTCTATCTCTCTAGAAAGCAAGAACAAGGATGAACTAGAGAGAGAAGATGATGAAGAAGAAGAAGAGAAGGAAGAGAAATAAAAGAGGAAGAGCAAGAAGGATCAGCACTACCTCAAGCTCATGAGCATCTCCATCTCCCTCAATCCATGGTTAGCTCAAAAGCTCTCATTCCATTTCTTGAAGTCAATCCTCAAGCCCTAAATCATGATTCTCTTCATGCATGAATGGAGTATGAGGCTTGGTGATTGCTCCATCATCTCAAGAGTAAGTTCAAACCCATCCCTCGTTCAATCCTCTCATGCATCTCTCTAATTCCTCTCTAATGCATATCTATGGATTTTTGCAAGAAACCTCATAAATGGTCAAATTCCTCTCTTGTGCTTGGAAGCAAGGTTGTGCAAGCATTCATCTCTGATCTTGGTGGCCTAGGAGTCACCAAATCTCAAAGATAAGTAGCCATGCCCAATCTCATGAATTAATCACTCATTTTCTCATGATTAAATTGATTTCTCAAATCAATGGTTGCACATGTTATCTAGAGCTCAAAACCTAGCTATCACCTGCCCAACATGCCTCCTAAACTATCCCTAGAACTCCTTGCACATGCATGGTAAACGTCACCCCCAATCTAGGCTTGAGTCACAAACAAGCAATATAAACAATGAAGACCATAGGTTCTATTGACACATTGACGGAGTGTTCGCCACATTTCATGGACCGGCCGTCAACACCAGCACTTAGCCGAAAATCCTAACCAAGCACTTAGTGTTCACTATTAACGGATTCACGGATCGTCTGTGAGATCCACAGACCGTCCGTCAATAATTAAAATTGATTTCCGGAGAACCCAAGAACATCCAGTTCATCAAGGAGATGCCAAGCGAGGACCATCGGAGCGGCATCAGGCAATGGAAGTGCCGCGGAGCATCAACCTCGTTTTCCACCTCCATCTTTCCTTATTCCTCCATGGGTCAGTGCCACTGATTTCTTGGGACTTCCTTCTCAAATCCGGCAAAGGAGGTGGCAATAGTTTCCTGACGGCTTGGGCAAGCAAGCTCTGCGGTGACTCAGCGAACCATGTGTGCCGCTTGCCAGCTACATGATTTTTTTTCTTTGGTTTCTTGATTCGCTTTGAGCGTTTATTTTTCTTGAGTAATTTGATTGCTTGCTTTGATGTTTGTTACGCTATTCGATGGTCTTTTGTTGTTGAACATCATTTGAAAAATAATAATAATAGGTTAATACTTATCTATCCATCATAAATATTCCTTATAAGGATAAGAATAAAACTAAGTGTATATATATTATCTATTTTAATCAGTAGCACACAACATCTTTTTAGTAGAATGCCCCGACATATATAGATACTAATGCGTGGACGCCTTCTCCACCACTACACACTTGTCCTTCCTCCCCAAAACCAAAAGCCAAAAAAGCACAAATCAAACCCAACACCGTTGTGCCGTGCATTCCGCCCTCCCCTCCTCCCTTCCACCACCACCGCCTGCATTTATTAACCACCTCTCCTCCGCGATCTCTCAGGTCTCTCCCTCCTCATCCGACGCCATCCGCTCCTGTCCCGGCTGAGGCGCGCATTGCGTACGGTACAAACCGCCCCCTCTCTCTCTCTCTAATCGATGCCGGTCCGCCGCGTCCCCTGAGGCGACGCGCATAGACTTCTCGTTGTCATGGTTGCTGGACTTCACCGCCCAGCCTCCTGCATTGCGTATTTGCATGCTTGGTGTTCGCTTCTTTCTCTGACAACAGGTCGGGTCTAAAGGCGAGAACGCCAAAGAATATTGTCGTGCTGTTTTTCTTTTCATCGATTATTATCAATTTTCATTGCCATCCCACGGTGACACGAAGTTGGTCTAATTAGCGTGACAGTATATTTAATTTAGTAGGTTAATTGAGCTTTCACTGAGAAAATTTGGCATGTTTGCTCCCTGATGTGCAAATGAAAAACGGACATTATGCTCCAGCAGATTCTGGTCATCTTCTTGCAAAAGGACAATATCCTCTGCGAGTGGGATCTTGGTGGATATTTGCCGACCTCTATGTTTTATCTATTTACCGCGTTCGGTGATTTCATTAGTGAAATAGTATCCTGTTTTTCCTACAGGAATGTGTTCTCTCCTGTTTTGCGTTGGGATGATTGAGATATATAGTGGCAACAGATCAGTTACCAGTAGATTCAATGCAGCATTCCTTCTCTCTTGATTGCAAGGAAGTGCTTAACTAATACTACCACGTGCTAAGCTGATCTTAGTTCTCAGTTGTATTTGTACACGCACGGTGTCATTTTTCAACACACTTTCAGTTTGTGTGCTTTAATTGTTTAACATGATATATTTTCTCATGTATATATGGACTCACAAAAATATTTATGGACTGGCATCCAATTGCTCTGCTCCCACATGCACATGGAATTGTTTTCATGTTTCTTTGGAACATCAAACATTTGTATTCCTGCTTCCTGCTAGCAATGTTTCTTTTTTCTTCTTTTTGCAGCTGTAATTTCAACTTCTTATAGTTAGAACTTTTGTGTCATGTTCGCCCTGTCTGAATGCTGTGACATGTAAATCTTCATCATTAACTGTGATAATTTATTATCTTTCCCCTGTTTGAATGCAATTCATATCTGCAGCATTAATTTGATCTTTCATCATGTTGTCAGGTCTGATCCTAACTAGTTACTTTGCTCTTACAGCAGGATTCTAAAAGTTATACAGGGGATATGGCGAGGCCTTACAAACCTAAGAATATCCTCATTACAGGAGCTGCTGGCTTTATCGCATCCCATGTCGCGATCCGTGTTACCAAGAAGTACCCCGATTACAAGATCGTCGTCCTTGACAAACTTGACTACTGCTCTAATCTGAAAAACCTGCTCCCTGTGAGCTCATCACCAAACTTCAAGTTTGTCAAGGGTGATATTGCAAGCGCTGATCTTGTCAACTTCCTTCTTGTCACAGAGAACATTGACACCATAATGCACTTCGCAGCCCAGACACATGTCGACAATTCATTTGGGAATTCTTTCGAATTTACCAAGAACAATATTTATGGTACACATGTTCTTCTTGAGGCCTGCAGGATTACTGGCCAGATCAAGAGGTTCATCCACGTCAGCACTGATGAGGTCTATGGGGAGACTGATGAGGATGCAGTTGTTGGGAACCATGAAGCATCACAGCTGCTTCCTACAAACCCATATGCAGCCACCAAAGCGGGAGCAGAGATGCTTGTCATGGCATATGGGAGATCCTATGGACTGCCGGTTATCACCACTCGAGGAAACAATGTCTATGGCCCAAATCAGTTTCCTGAGAAGCTTATCCCAAAGTTCATTCTCTTGGCAATGAGAGGGGAGCCCCTCCCTATCCATGGTGATGGAGGCAATGTCCGTAGCTACATCTATTGTGAGGATGTTGCAGAGGCATTTGAGGTCATTCTTCATCATGGAGAAGTTGGACATGTTTATAATATTGGAACAAAGAGAGAGAGGACAGTAATTGATGTAGCAAAAGATGTTTGTAAGCTTTTCAATCTTGAAGCTGACAAAGTCATCATGTTTGTCGAGAACAGACCTTTCAATGACCAGAGGTATTTCTTGGACGATGAGAAGCTCAAGAGCCTTGGATGGGCTGAGCGCACCCAATGGGAGGAAGGCTTAAAAAAGACAATGGAATGGTATGTAGCAAATTCTGATTATTGGGGTGATGTTTCTGGGGCCTTACTGCCTCATCCGAGGACACTGATGATGCCAGGGTACGAGGGCTCTGAGGAGATTAAAGGAATTCTCAGTCAGTTTAATAACATTCAAACAAAGGTCACTTCAACATCAGATAATGCTCTAGAAACGCATGCCTTCAAGTTCCTGATATATGGCAGGACAGGATGGATCGGTGGACTTCTTGGAAAAATATGTGAGAAGAAAGGAATTCCATATGAGTATGGAAAAGGCCGCTTGCAAGAACGTTCTTCACTCATCCTGGATATCCAAACTATTAAGCCAACACATGTCTTCAATGCCGCTGGTGTTACTGGAAGGCCCAATGTTGACTGGTGTGAGTCACACAAGCCAGACACCATTCGTACCAATGTTGTGGGCACCTTAAATCTAGCAGACATATGTAGGGAGCATGGCTTATTGATGATGAACTATGCCACTGGGTGCATATTTGAGTATGATGCACATCATCCCGAAGGGTCAGGTATCGGCTTCAAAGAGGAAGATACACCAAATTTTAAAGGTTCATTCTACTCGAAGACGAAGGCAATGGTAAGTCAGTAAATGCTTGTTACCCCTGCAATGGATGGCTTTGCTATCTTCAGTACTTCTAACATTGTTTTTGTCTAAACTCCTAAGTTGACATTTTCATGTTTCAAATATAGAAACAAACATGTGGTTACTCTCTTGAAAATGCAGGTCGAGGAGCTATTGAGGGAGTATGAGAACGTCTGCACTCTGCGAGTTCGAATGCCAATATCCTCTGACCTCAGCAACCCCCGAAACTTTGTGACAAAGATCAGCCGTTACAACAAGGTGGTGAACATCCCCAACAGCATGACGATGTTGGACGAGCTCCTGCCTATCTCAGTGGAGATGGCAAAGAGGAACCTGCGGGGCATCTATAACTTCACCAACCCCGGCGTTGTCAGCCACAACGAGATCCTAGAGATGCACAAGCAGTACATCGACCCTAGCTTCAAGTGGACAAACTTCACCCTTGAGGAGCAGGCCAAGGTTATTGTCGCGCCACGAAGCAACAATGAGATGGATGCAACCAAGCTGAAGAAGGAGTTCCCCGAGCTGCTATCGATCAAAGACTCGTTGATCAAGTATGTCTTTGAGCCCAATAGGAAGGTGCCTAGAAACTGAAGGGCCGGCACAGCTGATACTGTACAACACAGTATTATAAGCAAGCATATAGGAGCCAATTGCCACAATTCATTCATTAGAATTTTATTCGTCATACATAGCAGCATATCTTGAATATAGGTTGATTCACAGCTGAATAGACGACGTATATAAATATGGTAATCTGTTGATATCAGTATGGCCATTGCCCAATTTGTTGTAGAGACATATCACCAGTCTATGTGTACCACCACTTTTCCCTGCAGGAAGCTTGAATGATTCTATGATGCTAAATTCAATCTGATGTGTCCTATCAATTGAACAGCTACTCGGTTTGTTCTTTAACTAAGATTTTATCCTTTGTAAACCAAGGAAGAAACCATAGATTTTAATGCTTAGCTGGTACACTGAAAGCACATGGGTGGACCTTCCCTTCTATTCCTATTTAAATTATTCTCCCACCAAGTATCTTGTGGAGTAGATTATATATGCTGCCACTTTTGTGTGATGTGTGCCTAATGATATGATGAGAGTCCACAGGTAGTTGCTCATCTATGATGTTTCCATAAAGAAGGGGTTCTAGGATAACAGGGAGAGGATGTATCCATTCCAGTTTTTCTGTGATTGAATGGTTCTGTCTCTGCGTTTGGTTTTTGGGGAAAGGGATATCCCTACTTGGTGTTTGGTTGGAGGGATGAGGACAAAGGAATACATGACTGTTTCTGATTTGTTAACATCCAAATAAGTGGGACCCGCATGTCATCTCTCTCTCTCTCTCATCTTCTTTATTACCAACTGCTCCCTCCCCAGCCCCCAACATCTCGTTTGCCACCTCCCCCCCAATCAAAGCTACGTCGTGCCCGCCCATGATCAAAGCCACGCTGTGCCACTCGGATCCGTGCTGCCCGTGCCCAAAGCAGGTGTTGCCCGTGCCCTCAGCTCACATGCTAGAGCTTCACACGGAACCATGCCACCCGCACCCTAAGAGGGAACGTCGTGAGCTTGCGCCGGAGCTTCGCTAGGAGCCATGCCACCCCCTTTACCGAGCTTGTGGTCAAGCTTGAGAGGCTTGTTAGCATGCGAATCGATCACCTAGAGACTCGCCTCGACGAGGATGTCAGGGATAAATCTCTTGTCATCTCTTGCCCCGATGGTTTGCTACTCACATTTGTGCTTTACATTTGTATACCTTGCTTGTATGTTAGTTGCTTGCAGTAGTATCTCTCTAGTTGTAGATTAGTTTTAGTTAGTAGAAGTAGTTTTGTTGCTTCACTAGTTTAGCTCAACTATAGCAGTGCTAGCCTCCTTGCTTGTTTGAGTAAACTTGTAGTAGTGTTAACTTGCTATTAAAATTGTTGAGGCGGTTTGCATTGGGTGGATTAGGCTAGGCAAAATTGTTTATTGTTCTAACCACTTTGCTCTAGTGTTGTGATTTTTTATAGAAATTTTTAATAGACTACTCAACCCCCTCACCCCTCTAGCCATCTAGATCCTTTCAAAGGGGCGCAACCACACTTGCTTGAGCGGCGGCAGCAACAGCATTCTCCTAGTGACCTGCGTGTCTAAAATGACAAGGACATTGGCTTCCTAGATCCCGACAGTGTCAACGATGTCAGGCCACCACCCATCACAAACGACACAGAAGAGCAGATGAGAAAAAGAACCAAAGGCAGTGATCTCTAAGAACACGACAATTGGAGCCTCGCACCACCCACCACCATGGGTGAAATTGGCGAGAGCTTTATTCAAAAGAACTGCTAGTGAAACTGAAAAAAAAACTACGTCTATGGACTACACAGATCCGGAGGGCCAGCCCGCCCCCTCATGCTACTGGCGAGGATGCCGGAGGGGGAGAGGGAGGGTCAAGAGCTGGTGGAACTCAACTCTCTCCTTTAGGAATGGCAAGCCTCCTGCGCAGTGTTAGGCCTTGTAGTCGTGCCCTACAAGATCCGCTGCATCAACTCTTGCTCGATTGGCCGAATCCACCATAGCTTAATCACAAAAACGAGGGCAAGGTGCGAGGGCAGCCACCGCCTACCGAAGGACAAGCGGGTGAATGAGGTGGCTAGCTACACAAGCAAAATCGGTGGAAACGTTGGACTTGCGATACATGCGAAAAAGTCAGGGAAAGAGAAAATGAAACATATTGGCTAAGTCACTGACAGAGTGGGCCCACATGTCATTTGTAAAAGATGGTTGTGACTTAAGAGTCATTGCTAGAGTTGGGCCCTAGAAATAGAACATTTGAAAAAAAGGTGAAAAATAGAGGCTCTGGTTTGAGGATCTTAGTTGAAGATGCTCTTCGAGTATAGTTAATGAATAAGCATCAATGAATGATCTCTTCAATCTGCCTTGTCTAAAGAAGCCTTTTCTCAGCTTCAATTTTTGAATGAGAAGCTGCAAATTTTGGAGTTATAAGTTGCGTGCATGACACCCGGATATATATCTGGAACTCTAAATATGTGAGTTCCTCTAAGGCATACAGAGCTCTAACCACTCATTCTGATGCTCATGAAGCTTTCAAGTGGCTTTGGAAATCTTCATGTCAATGCAACCATAAAGTCTTCTTCTAGTTGCTACTAAAGACAGGATAAGCACAAGGAACATACTCATACTCAGAACGAAAGGTATGGCTCTTCAAGAGTACAATTGTATGCTTTGCTCACAGTCCAGTGAAGAAACAGTAGAGCATTTGTTATTGGATTGCACCTTTGCAAAAAGAGTGTTGGAATTTAATCAATTTGGGGTACCCACAAGGCCACAAAGACAACAGCAGCAAATTTCTTTTTTTCATGGAAATTTTCATCATTCATGTGGTGGTGCATTTGGTCTTCCAGGAACAATCTCATTTCAATGGATCTCATGCAAGTTTAAGCAGTTGTAAATCTCTGCTGGTCACAAAATTGCTTCTGCTGTTGCACACAACAAAAGCCTCTTCACCTCCCCTTTTAAAACAGTGGATAGAAAATCTTCTTTAGTTTACCTCATTTTCTTGTTTCTTTCTTTGTCTCTTGAGCTTGAGTTTAATTTTTTCTGTATTATGTTGCCTGTAACATTTTCTTTAACTTGTAAGACCTTTGCTTTTTTTATAATTTATCTTCAGTAGGGGCTTTCAGTCCCTCCAGGTTTCTTAAAAATATTCTCATTCATAAATGTTTTTCTCCCATCCATCCCATAAAGTATGTGATTCTCAATTTTCGAGGTTAGATTAGTGTAGGTATAAAATTATGTATGTGCCCCTCCAGTTTTCTCATTTCAAAAGCAATTGTTTGTGCCTGGAGGGTTGGCGACCACCTCTACAGTGGATGTGAATCACCGGTTGATGTATGCGCTGGTTTTATTGATACATGAGCCCTACTGAAAATGCTGATCTCAAACCTACTATTACATTCATTTCAAGGCATAGTTGAACTGCAAGATTATATTTTTTTTGGGACAGAGCAAATACTGTACTCGTTCCGATTCAAACGGAGCCTGAGCATCTAGCTGGTTAGGCTGTCTTGTTTCCAAAAAGTTTACCAAAAAGTGCTGCAGTAGCTATCACATCGAATCTTACGATACGTCCATGGAGTATTAAATGTAGACGGAAAAAAAACTAATTACACAGTTTGGTTGAAAAATCACGAGACGAACGTTTTAAACCTAATTAGTCCATAATTAAACACTAATTATCAAATAAAAACGAAAGTGCTACAATAACCAAATTTCTAAATTTCGTGAACTAAATACAGCCTTAGCTGCCCAACCCAAGGGATACCTTCCTTTAATTAATTTGATTTGACTTTGACGGGAGCTGGTGTCATTGTTTGGACGCGTGCGCGTTCATCCCATGCTTCTTCTAGATCTACCATCCCTAGCATATGACCCACCTACTATATTGTCACCTGACATTGGGTCACAGTACCTACCAACACTTGGCAAGGGTCAACTAATATCTTTGTAGTACTACTCCCTCAATCTCGTAAAGGATGTGTGCCTGTTCGCTGGGCTCATAAGCCATAACTAAAAGTAATATTGGCTAATTTATTGTAAAAGAAAAATACTATTTGTTGACTAAAAAAGTACGGTTTATAAGCCAAGCGAACAGGACGGTGATTCTCAGTTTTCAAGGTTAGATTAATGTAGATGTAAAATTACATGTATGCCCCTAGAAACTCAAAAAAAATTGTTTGCATCTGGAGGGTTAACGGCCACCTCTACAGTCTACGCCGTGGATGAGAATCACGGATTGATGGATGCACTGGTTTTTTTAATACATAGGCCCTACTGAAAAACTGATATCAAACTATGATTACATTCTTTTTTGAGACAAATATTTGAACTGCAAGATTATTTTTTTGGGGGGGACGGATGAAGTATTTTGTTTGGCACAGTATATGAAACCCTAACGAATGAAAATGTTTATATCACAATAACAAATCAAATGGTAGATGGTACACCATAATTCATCTTCGGTCTCTCATTCAGCATGGCCAGCGTAGACAGATCACGGCTGAGTACCGAGTACTAGTGTGATAACATGCTAGCTCTCACAAAGACCAGTGATTGCCTGCATCCCAGTAAAAACAGAAGTAAAATGCTTGACTAGTGACATGGGCTAAACTGAATACAACAGTTTTTTTTTCCTACAAGTGAAACAAGGTTCTGCATCCTAGACTAAAATTTGTGGCGACACTTCGGCCTTAGAAGAAAATAGTGGATATTCCCATAGCCAAGCACCCTACTGATACCCAAGGGCTCAATCGCTCACCTGAGAAAGAAAGACATGCGAAATGTCAATTCTACATTCTTAACAAACAAATGGATTAATTAACAATCAACTATATGTTATGGTGCAACCATAAACAAACATTTTGTGCTATAAAAAAGTACAAACTACTGTCCTTTACTTGCTGTCTTGGTGTGGAAAGTCATAAATACATACCTTTGCTCATTAGTTTTTCTATTCAAGAAAACAAATTGGAAAGAGTAACTATGGTTACAAACTTTAAGAAATACTTCTCGGCAAGATAAATCCAAAT